AGGTATCCCTTGAGCATCAGATTAAGATTTTGTTTTTAAGGCTAGCAAGGGTGTCCAGATAAAGCTAAGACCCATTTTACCATCTACTTACAAGATAGCACTAGAATTTAGAGTCTGCTAAAAGTAAAATGGACACCAAGACATTGTTGCTGACCAGAAATGTTCGTGTCCTGTTCTGTTTACCTGAACTCCTCCTCTTTACTCTTTAGCGTATCGGATCTATGCTTGATTGTTCCAGTTTGATGTGCTGTAGTCAGATTTGTTCTCAGAACAGAACAGAACAGAAGTCATGTTGTGAGTGGCGGTGTCATGCATGTGTGTGCTGCTATTTGTTTCTTTAAAAAAAAAGAGAAAGAAATTCTTATGGCTTCACTTTCTATCCCTTATATTGTGATTGTAAAATAAAAAAGCAGATGAAATAAAAGAGATGGTTTGGTGGACTGATGGATTCGCATCAAGCTACAAAGCCACACACACAGTCAGATATTTAGTTGTTTACAGTGAAAGGAGCTTTATTACAAACCGTTCTTAACACAGGCTGTTTCTGATCTAGTCACTATGGCTCTTCGCCCAGTGCTGCATAGCCTAGGCCCAGGGGGGAGGTACAAGCTCTGAAAAAATAAATGAAATGAAGTTTGGGCAGAAGAAGGATGTGCTTGCAGTTTGATTCTTTCATGAACTGCCACTGGTTGTTGAAATAATTTGATACTGAATGTAATATCAATCCACTCCTCATGAACCTGATTGGAAAGTGTAACCTCCACCTCTTCCACGAAAGAGCGATATGCCAAGTGACACTGCTAACGTAGCAACTTTGTCACCCTTATTTAGTTTTAGTAAATAATTTTTGAAATAACTGGCAACAATCGCTGTTTACAATCCAACATCGGCCGGGCCATAAGGGAACAGGTGATCTGGGGCTACTGTGACAGCTGTGTTTACACTGTGGCTGAGAGACACTGTTTGAGAAATATCCACACTGATGACGTGTTTGTGAGGTCTTTTTTTTTTTTCTTTTTTTCACATGTTTAACGATGAGACTTTGTTGAACGAAGCATTTTTGGAGTGAAATAATGTCATAGTGGACCCTCCTGGCAGAGACATCAACAAAGCTGTTCCAAGTTAAACAGGAAAGTTTGACTGCAGTACCCTCCCTTCAACCCAAAGAGGGCAGCACTAAGACTGTTGAAGGTAAAATGTTACAGAATTAAACAAGTTCACACTAATATGTTAACATTTACACAAAGACATAAACACAGCACACTTAAGGACTGATTTGTCTGCAAAAAAAAAAAAAGTTGATTGGGGTTTAGCTACTCTTTAAGATTCAACCAATATTGCCATTAGTGTCACTAGTTCAGTTTCGTTCTTGTTTGAGTCAGGTTTTACAGTTTAAAGCCATTCAAACTTATTTGAACCCAAAAAGCCCCTTAGACCCACAGCAGCACTGCTGCTTTTATAGGTCTGTCTGTGTTTTCCCCGACTGACTGTGAACCAGCGAAAGAGCGGATTATTGGTGTGTCCTTATTAGTCCTTGACTCCTGCAGAGAGCCAAACATGTGAGGCAGGAATTAAACTGGGGGGAGGGCAGAAAACCTGTCCACAGTAAGACGAGAGACGGAAAAGCTCAAAGAAAATAAACGAAGAAATAATTACTTTTTTACTTTCACAATGAGGCATTTTTCACCCCTTTTTAAAATATAAGAATTTTATGTGACTCAAATGAGGAAGAGGAGACTCACTTTTAGTGCCTGGTTTTGTTATATGAACATGTGAAATAACACAAATCCTGCCACCTCTTTTTCTTGTTATTTGTTATTCCTGTTAATTATGAGACTTTGTTGATCAGCTATTGAGGTTTTTTCTCTTTTGACTTTACTCTGCTTTAAAGTCAATCTACAAATGTTGAGTCAATTGCCAGCCAAGGAAAAGATGACTTTGAAACAAATTGCTGGGGGGGGAAGAAAATCAGAAAACTTTCTTTCAAAAACAAATAGTTACATATTAATATATATGTTAAACATAAATAACATACTTTATTTGCATTTTTAAATGTTTGTCATCTTCCTAAAAATTCCATAATTTGTTTTTGCCAAAAGTGTTTTAGGCAACAACAACAACAGCAAATAAATAATAAATTAATTAATTAATGATCACTTTTGGCAAAAATGACTTAGGCAATTATTTTAGGAAGGTGACTATATATGCATATATAGTTAAATAAAAAGAATGATATGTTTTATTACTGACATGGACTACATTTATTTTTGGCTAAAACTGAGCTTTCTGTTGAACCTTTCAGACTTTCCGTAACATACAGGCAGCCTGCTGGATTTTATACACATTAATACGTAATGCCACTTTTTGCCACCTGAGGGCGACCTCTGCCATTATTTTTGGCCTGTCATTGACAGCAAAGCGATCTCACATCTTTCTCCGTCTTCGGTTTAAATGCCTATCACCGCTATTACATAACAATTCAGTTTGACTCTTTCACTACGTCCATCGTATTTCAGCATTCCTTTCATTATCTCTTCATCCGTCAGAATGCATGAGTGAAAACTGACTCATTAACTACATCAGATAGCAGCTCTGATAAAATCAAGACGCCATCATGAAACGGACATGTGAGCTATCCACGGTCTGCCTCACAGCCATTTAACATCTCGTCGTACAGGAACAGTGCAAACGTCGCTGATAGCTGATTCCAGCTCCACTTAAGTGATTGAGATTTTCAGAGCGATGTCTGAAGGGTTCCCCTTTTTTCCAGAATCATTTAATCTGTACCACTGAAGCGTTTTCCAGCTGTCATGTCAACGTCTCCATTCCTGTTTCTCATGGTTTTATCTAAGGCAGATCAGTAGATCAGGACATCACTAAGATGCTCTTTGAGATTCTCCTTCGAAAGCAACTATGTGCCTCGGCAAGCTGTAAGGTAAGGTAATTTTATTTATACAGCACATTTTTAGCAACAAGGCAATTCAAAGTGCTGTAGCACCAACCTAGCAAAAACAGGACTTCCTGTGTTATTAAAAATTGTGGTAATTGGTGGTTTAATTTATCTCACTAGCAGTGTTGGTAGTCTGAATCCATTTTATTGTGGTACTAGTCTGAGCTTTATTTTTTAATGTGTATTTAATTGTGGCAACAGTTTTGTTTAACCTATGACGTCCAAGAAGAATTTCCCCTGACATGGACAAGTAGCTACTGACTTATCCCATGTCGAGGTTCCAAGTGAATTGGAAATCGCTGTGTCTAACTCTTTGGTGTGAAAAACATGGCAAAGTGTTCTGGAAAGAACCACTGGAAAGGACCACACAAGCAGTGGAAGCATGTCAATCCAGAGTAACAGGCTTTTCTCCTTATAGTGGAAATTTACAGTCGCAGTATCCAAAGAACAACCAGCTGCCCAGCTGAAGATGCGTGAAATACTCTAAGATAAATTTGTGTTTTTCTATTGCAGTAGCAAAAGTTTATGTCAACTCTAGAAAAATTTTATTTAGAAAAGCCCAATCTATGATTCCAGAATCAGAAGCATTTGTTTTTATTTATACTCTACCTTTTAATCTAAATTGGAGTGTGTGTATGGCGTGGCTGCCGTACCTCCAAGCCATGTGGCGTTCTGTGTCTAGGAACCTTTTGTGAGATCATGATTTCCTGTTTTCTTAGGATATACTATAAGTGTTTCATAATTCAAAAGCCCACTCTTTAAAGAGAAAAACATATTTCAAGGTGCAGTAGAACTGCAAGGTGCGTCTTAATAACAACCATTTAATGACAGCTAGATGCTGTTTTCCAATTGCTGCTGAGACTTTAAAAGGAATCAAAATTCAACAACGGCCATGATGCTTTTCCACATGTAGAAAAACATCATGGCTGTTAAATTTTATGGAGGATCTGTGATGCTCTTCCAAAAAGCCCCAGGAACTTTGCAAAAAGCACTTGGCATTATGAACTCTTTAGATGAAAATCTGATTGATGAAAATTTGTCATCACTGGGTCCTTTGAGATAACGATCCAAGACCAAAATGGTTCCACAGATACAAACTCAGCCTTCTTCTGTTTTCTTCTGCTGCCCTTCTTAGCATGAACAGATGCAGGCTCCTGTTAAGGACTTGCATCCTGAATATTGGCTGCTTTTGCCAAGAAGTTTGTTTTCATTGCTGCTGTCCTGCAGAGGCCCAGCAGTCGTCCAGTGTTATTTTCACAACAGGCAAAGCAATATATCCTCATGACAGGAGAAAAACAACATTTTAAAAATAAGTTATGTCATGCCGTCTCCTGAGAATATTGAGAGAGAAGACTGAAGAGCTTGCCTGCTGTTTTTTTTTTTTTTATAATAATTTACTCATTAAAAAAGCAACAGTAACAACAACAAAAAAAATCAGACCTATGGAGTGCTTGTTCACTTAAAGCTAAAGAAACTATTTAGTTATAATTTCACTTTTGTACTTTTTCACATTTTTTCACCCTGAAGCCACAAGCGTCAGTGTATTAGTGTATTTTATTGTTTTAATAGTGATGAGAAGTTTGGCCCTTTTGAAGACAGCCGCCTTGTTCAGCTGCCAAACGGCTCTGAATTTATTATCATCTGTTGCCACCCCATAATCCACCCTCCACCAAACTTTACACTTAGCACAGTGCAGTCAGACAAATACCATTCTGATTTGTCGGTCTTTATGAAACGTTTTTGGCAGAATGCTGAAACCTTGGTTTCAAAACGAGGGAGAGCGTATTGCTCCTGGGTTGTCTGGCTGCCTGTCTGTTTCAGAGTTTATTTTCAAATGTTTTTATTTGTCTTGAAGATGCTGAACAAAATCACACATCCTTTTAAATGTAGCGCATGTACTTTTATTTCAGCCAAATAACATCAAGTTACAACACATCCAGTTCAGAGAAACCCAGGAGCGCTATAAAGAATCCAATTTAAAAAAACAAACAAAACATTTTTTTTTCTTAATTGTCTTTGAATCACGTTGCTCCCATCTCTGTTTTTGTGCTTGCAGTTTTACTTCCAGCGACCACCCACCTTCCCCTTGCCGTGGCCTTTTTTGCTGAGGGAGAAAAGACAGACGGGAAAAGACGAGTGAGGCGCGGCGCCGGAAGGAGACAGAATCAGACATGTCAGATTTTGCATCTACTCACAATTTCTGAGCATGTTGGATTCTGTTCAGTAACACAGTAATCTGTGGGAGGCAAAGAAAAGTGTTCTTGGGATTAGCAGATTGTTATTAGAGTTTAGTTAAAGTTTAAGAAGTATTCATCACCCTTGAACTTTTTCACATTATTCTTTTTGTCTTGTTAAAACCACAAACATAATAAAATGTATTTATCGTCAGATTGTTTCACTTATAACAAAACATTTTTCAAATAATCTGTAATAATCTGTAGTAATAGTACTTTTTTCATCAATATACTGTAAGGGAATTATTGACTTAAAACAAGTCCCTATTATCTCTCCTGAAAAGTTACTTGTAAGTTATTTTTATCTTATTTCAAGTGTATGAATATATTTAAACTAAAAACTAAACTAAAAACACTTGGTAAGATTTTGTGTTTTTCCAGTGTTGGTCTTTGTGTTGCTGTTTATTCACTAAAGTTCTATAGTAAACCTCTGAGTCCTTCACAAAACAGCTGGATGATACAGAAATGAAATAACAAACACAGCTGCTCAACGTAAGTACCAAGGAAAATATTCAGAAAAATGACCAGAAATTCAGAAACTGTAGAAGGCTTCTGCTGAATATGTTCCATGTTTACACAGCAAAAAATGTTTTGAATGTGCTGGATCCATGTTTTTGTTTGTGGAAACACAATTTCCCATTGGTCCACAGTAATGTGTATCAAGCAGCAGCCACACATGACCAAGTGGAGCCATTTACCTTTAACCCAGCTGGGTCACCTCTCAGTACGTTTACAGTTTAATTCTAATTTGTGTGATGAAAATGGATTTGCTCAATCAGCTGAACTCACCTTCCTCCTGTTACACGGAGGTCGTGAAGCGGGTTGTAAAGCCTACCTCGTATCTCTGGTGCTTCATTTGCTCCATGAAGTCAAACTTCTCAGATTCCAGCTGATGGATCCAGTTCCACATCTCCTGGGCCCGGTTCCTGACAAACACAGAGCCACACACCGTGTTTCTATGCTGTAAAGTCTTTTAGTGTGCGACTCTTTAACGAGTTTGGCTGGGTGAGTGTGGCACCATGCAGCGTAAAGTCCTTTGAGTGACATGAAAATTCAGCCAAAGAACAAAATAATGGACCACAGAGAGCTGTACTTCAGGATTAGTTTTCATCTCATACCTGTTCAACAACATTTATGAAATTATGAAACTGGGTTTATCACACTGGGTTACAAAAAAAGTCAACCTTTTGGAAGATGTATATGTTTTTTTCAACTGAACTAGGACTATTTTTTTAAATCCTGAAATGATGTACATTTTTCTCAGGTTTTTATTCTAACTTGATTTAGAGAAATACAATGTTCTGACTAAACTGATAACATTTTTGTGTGGTTTTGCATACATATGTATAAATTATTGCAAACGTTTTTAAATTAGTATGACAAACATTTGATTTTTTTTTTTTGCAAATAATCACAAAACCAATCTTAAAACCCCGAAGAGGCAATAATATAAAAACCCATCGCTGCACTGGATTACTGACTGACTGCGATGCGTCTGGAAGGGACTCACCTCAGGCTGTCCTCCCTCATGTTGTCGATGCCTAGAGGCTGCCGTCTGTCGGCCAGCGTCTTCCTCTTGATCTCCCTCCCCGTCAGGCGCTTGCTCTTCCTCGACTCGGCCTGGATCGGGGTTAAACAGCACACAATCATCCTCCACTTTTCCTACTTTTCATCATCGATCTGAGGTGAAAACACCAGGCACACTGACTTTGGCCAGGAAACCTCCAAAGTTGGCTCCCATGCCAGACAGCACTTTCTTCTTCTTCAGGTCGTCATCTGCCTTCTTTTTGGCCTCCTCTTCCTCTTTTCTGTGACGTTCTTCCTGCGAGGTGGAATGGACGAAGGATAGAGACAAAATATCATGTTTGCTGTTTCAATGCGTTATCGTTGCAGCATAGCAGATGTAAATGCCTTGCACAGGTTGATGAAGTACCTCCAATAGATGTACAGGGTTTCCTATGAGGTATTATAAGCCTGGCAGGCCACCAGGCCTACCTGGTGCCCTCACCAGGTTTAGCATTGTTAATTTATTTTAGTTTGTTCTTAATTATTGCCTTTTTAAAAATACTTTATAGTTGGTGTTAAGGTGTTAATCTTCCAGTCTCTCAATAATGCATAACTACCAAGAGATATTTTCATTTCTTGTGAGATATGTTTATGGTTATGACATTGTGGTATGGATACTTTTGCAAGGCACTCTACATATGACGTATGAACTGTACATGGCAGGTAAACTTATGATTTCATATTCTGAACAGGTATGGGATACAGTTTTATGAAGTAATGTGGGTCTTTACTGCAATCCTATTCTGTCGGTCCTTCTCCTTCTCGGCTCTGACTCTCTGGATCTCGGCCCTCTCGGCTCGACGGTGCTCCTGGAGGGAAAACATTTGGCCATTCATTTCATCCCACTTGCGCTCCAAACCAGCTTTGAGATTTGACCAGCCGCATGGGTCTTAAAGTGATCTCACAATCCGCTCCTTGAGCCCAATGAGTTCCTCCTCGTCCTTCTTCCTCTGCTCAAAGTGAGCATCGATCAGGGTGTGCAGCTCCAGTAAGTCCTTCTCCATTCGCTTTCTGTGGATGTCCTGTCAAAGTGACAAAGGAAACAGTTGAGAGACAACTCCTGGTGATCAATTGTTCAACGTCTAGAGACGACTGAAGAGAAAGACCAGAACCAACTGTTAGCAACTAGAGGGCTGGGTAGCTGATCCAAGAGTTAATCTAGAAGATGGCCATTGGGTGATTACTGAGCTAGAACCAAACCAACAGCTTACCTTAATGTTGCTAAAGCATTTTGTGCAATGATGGGACAGGACTTGAGTTTTAGTTCCAATGTATTGAGGGTTTTGTAGCAACAATAAGTTAATTATATTTCATGTGGAAAAACAATTTTTTTAGACATGCCTAATTTCGCAGTTAGTTTAAGATTACTCTCTGACTTTTTCTGGAATGAAATGAAGCCATCCGCTGCAGGATGTGTTACGCCACCATAACCCAGCTAGAAACTGACCAAAGCAGAACTTAGCTCTCCGTCTGATCCCAGTCAGTACCTTCTACTACGCTCTAACTTTAGCCGTGAACATGGCACCTCTGTTTCAATTGTCTTATTAACTTACGTCAAAATCCACTCGTTCTCCCTCAGGAATCTTTGGAGGAGCAAGTTGGGGCACAAGAGGTCTTTAAGTGGAGAGAAGAAGAAAAAACCCCCAAAACAAAACAGAGCTTAGTGAAAGAAAGTGGAGGAAACTGCACAAAGACAGATGAAGCAATCTGAGCTTTGGTTTACACAACATACTTTGGCTTGGGGCGCTCTTCTTCTGCAGAGAAAAATGCACAAAATAAACAAGTTTAGAGTTTATTCCTGAGGTGAAAGAAAGGATTGTGAAACAGTGTAAAGGATGGTTGATATTTTGAAAAGGACAACAGGTGAGGTGTTTGGAAAAGTATGTTATCATCAGAAATTACAAAACAAAACAAGAATCCAAAGACTTTTGTGTGTTAAATACACCTGACAAAGAACTACCAATCAGGAAAAAGATTTGGATCATGACTGCTTAGTTTATTAGAAACACACAATGTCTGAGCAGGAAGTGGTAAGAGTATTGCATTAAACATACAACAGACCATAGAAGCTGTTACACAATAATCATCTCTATGGATGCCACAGATACACTGGGCTTGTAGAAAAGCATTTGAACCGTTCTGTTTTCTGGATGATACGTCAAACATTAACTAAGGGAATTATTTAAATCACTAACAGCTGCTTAAGTTGCAGAGGAACATGCTCTCTGCAGTCAAAGTTCTGGTGTGATTCTTCTCTCTTCTTTAGTCATTTCCTGCCAAGGACTCAGCTTTTTGACACAGACTAGACCAGGGGTGAGCAATCCAGGTCCTCGAGGCCCCGTGTCCTGCAACTCTTAATGTCTCCCTGGTCCAACACACTTGAATCCAACAGCTGAATCACTTCCTTAATGTAAGTGCAGTCAGGTTCTCCAGAGTCCTGCTAACGACCTCATTATTTGACTCCGGTGTGTTGGAGTAGAGACACACCCAGAGGCGCAAAAAGTGGGTATGCAGCGTATGCAACGCATAGGAGCGCAGCACCAGAGGGGGCGCCAAAACCCCGTCTGGAGGGGGCGACGCGCCGATTATGTTTTCCCATACAGTTCAGCGCGCCTCACACTCCTTCACCTCTCGCACATAACGAGGTACATGTAGCGAGTTTTACACTCCACGTAGCGTCCCCTCGTGGGGGTTGAGCGTCGGTCCTTCACCCTGAAGTTCCTTCCCTCGGGGGGGGGGGGCGCCGATTTATGTTTTCGCATCCCCCTGAATAATGGGCAGTTGCGCCGCTGGACACACCTAGTTGCAGGAGACCGGCCCTCGAGGCCTGCAGTTGCCCACCCCTGGACTAGACATTACTTAACATGGTTGAGGTCAAAGTCATTTTCACGATTTAGAGCCGTCGTAAATAATAAAAGACGGAGGAGTAAATTTATGCCAAAAAACTGGAAAATGTCTTGAACAGAATTGTTTCTACGCTACAAGGTGACTTAAACCACAAGGAACTTGTAAGTTTACTTTTTATCTCGTATCCTACACCATGTGGATAAATGTTTTAGATGTGCCTCTATTCCAGAACAGCTGATTCAAATGATTGCATGACCATCAAGTACTGCAGAAGCCTGTTAATCACCCAGAGATACAATTCAGGTGTGGCAGAAGGAAAACACCTAAAACATGCAGGAAAGAGGGGCGGTGAGGACCAGGGTTGAGAAACAATGCGCTAGAAGATCTGTGTTAAATTGAAAAGTCATTAATTCAGTCCACCCTGAAAAAAGAACAGTCCAAACAAAGTCACTGAAGGCCTCAAAAGAGAGCAACATCTATGCTGATGATCTAACCAGAACTTTAGAACTTTACCTTTAATCAAGATCAACTCCAACGGTCTGATGTTAAGAAGTGAACCATGCTGGATTTATAAAAGTCAATGTTTTTTTTATTTATTTTTTTATATATGTTAGGTAATTATTTTAGGAAGGTGGGAAAAATAGTTTTTTTTTCCATATTTGTTTTGCTCTCACCTTCCTCCTGGGCATCTTGGTCTGATGGAGCAGCCATATGAAAGCACAGTGAAAGATGCACAGATGGCAGCAAAGCAACAAATGAATCGTTGATATGGGTCAAATGTGAACATGAGACCAGGGGAAAAAAAAGAGACTGTGTAAGAGATGGTAATAGAAAATGGATAAAAGTAAGAAATGAATGTGAAAAGATGTGAGGATAGAGTCATAAATATCAATAAAAATAAAACAAAGAGGATAAAAGCAGACAGGCAATGATGGGACAGTTAAAATAACGAAGTTAATATTGATTCTGCAGAAGCACCGAGTTGAACTTGTTGATGATTTTGGAACATTCTGGAACGTTCCAAAATTCCCACGTCATTTTCTGAACACCACTTCACTGGACCCAAACTCTCTTTTCATCCCCTAAAGTTGTGCTGAGAATATTTCTTGAGATTTTTCCAAAGGGTTTGGAGTTACATGTACTGGCAAGTCGGACCTTATTGCATATGAGTTTATTATTTTTGTGTGATTCTTAAATGTCTTTTGCAAATGTTATTGCAGTAAATTCAAAACCTTTTAAAATAACATTGTTAGCTCCTTTGTGATAGCCTAGCGTTTCTTCGTTTCTTACACAATAAGACCAGTGTCAGTATCAACAGCAAACTAACGCTTTTCCAAACAAAGCCTTTGAGAAGAGAAATTTCTCACAATAATCATTCTAGATCAAAAACAAGTGTAAGAGGTCTGCTCTTCTGGTTTCTGCATTTCTATGTTAGCATGAAAATACCCACCATATGATCTTCCAAAATGTTGATGTATTGCTTTTAAGAATATTTGTTTCCCTTACAAGTTAAGTCAGAATATTACAGAGTTCAGTTTATCAGGATCCAGAGTTGTGGAAATATCAGCTGTAAAATCTCCTGAAATGAGAATCTGACAGGAATAGTC